CGGTGAAGATCGAATTTTGACACCGTTGATTTTGGGGGTTTCATGTCATTTCTTCTTCAAAACTTGAGATAGGGATTTTCTTAGAGTTATATATATGTTTTTGCAAGATCTATATGATTTTCGAAATCATCTTTCGATAGCTTTGAAAATTGATTGTTGATTCAAGAAGTTGAGCGATTTTGAAAGTGGGTTTGTCTCTTGTTCTTTTAAAATGATCTTAGGGGTTTTGATCTTCGCTGATTGAAGAAAATATGATTTTGGAAAGTTTTCTTTCAAAAGATTTGAGTTGTATAGTTTTGGTGAGAAAACTTAGAATTTGAGAATTTTTTTTTAGACTGAAAATCCATGAATGACATTGTTATATTTATTTTGTGTGTCAAAATAAATGGATGTTTGGAAAATTTCTTATTTATATTTATATAAATGATGAATTTTAGGGAATATGAGAATAATTGTTCATTTTGAAAATTATTGTTCAAAACATTGAAATAGTCTTGAAATGACTAATTGTTGAGGATACTTGAGAAGAGAGAATTGTGTTATTCCTTGGATGATGAATTGGAATAAAAGTATTTATATTCATATTGTGTTATTGGCATATCAATTCATTTGGTTACATTAAACTTTAAAAGTTGATTTGAAAACTTGCATTGAGAAAAGAATGTTGAGAAACAAGTTTTCATGGAATGGTTTTGGGGTAAATACGTTGGTAAGTCTTGATAGGTGGTGTAGAATAAGTTTGCCAAAGAGTCCAGGGTGAAAGACCGAAAACCCGCGCAGATAGGTGTCGAGCCTTCCGGTTAATACCGGTAAAAATGACAAATTGGTAATACTTGTATAGTCCACTTGCACACATCGACCTAAGGATTATCAAAGTCGTATTTACCGCTCTTGAAATGAATTGTTAAGTTTTGAAGAATTGAAATTGCATGACATCATTGAGCATGAGGGTTTTCAAAGATGAAGATGTGATTTTGTTTCAAAAGGGCATAGCATGGCATGTGCATTTCATCTCTTGAGACTTGTATAAAATGTATATACTTTGTTAAAGATTTCCTACTAGGCTTTATGCTCACCCTACGGGATTTTTGTGCAGGAAAAGATGTGGTGATGCCGTCTAATTAAAGGCGAAGAAATGTGTGTTGAGAGTACAAGATTCTCATTTTGATGTGACTTTGTCTGTAAGCCAAGGGCTATATGTGTGTGGGTTTAAATAACTGTTTTGTGTAACTAGGCTCAAGTCTTGGAAACTTGTAAACCTTTAGAGGTATTTATTTGTTTATTTACTTGTTGTTGGATTAATGCATTGTTGCATGAAGAACTGCTATATCATGTAATGTAAGTTTGGAGATTTATATTCGGTTTTCCTTGAAAGAGCTGTGATTGTTGTATTATCATTTGTGCTAGAAATTTGGGGCATTGCAGAGTGTTTATCTATTTTCCCAAAAGTCATTCCTAAAGCAACATAGGCAGCGTTTGGTTTACTTTTCGAAACTCAACTCTATTTTTAAATCATGATTTGGATGAAACATGTTAACCAAACATATTTTTAAAAAACAACTCAAAATTACCTTCAAAACTCCTCTCTTCTCGTTTATTATTATTATTATTATTATTATTATTATTATTATTATTATTATTATTATTATTATTATTATTCAATTAATCAATCACTTTTTCTCTCTTCTCCCCTCTCACATTCTCTCACATTCTATACATCAATCAATCAAAAAAATTAAATCCAAAAATTATTTTCAAAACTCATAACTAAACAAATTTTCTCTTTTCAAATTATGATTCAAAAACTCTATACTCAAATTATAATTTCAAAACTAAATCAAATGAACTATAGGTTTTCTACCAATCTAATCCAAAACTAATTATGAAGCACTAAATCCAAAACTTTAAGAAGTCTAAACCAATATGAGGGTAAAAAACAAGTCTAAATTTGACTAATTAAGACTATTCACTAATCATATTCCAATTAAGAAATATAATACCAAACAGAATCAATTTAGGGATAGACATCAAGTCAATAATTCGACCATAATAATAATAATAATAATAATAATAATAATATTAAAAAAAGTACATTTAAAATGTCTCGTATTTTTTTAAAAAAAAAAATTGTCCTAGCATAGTTGTTAGCAAGACCCCTTAAATTATTATCCCTTACATTGAATGAATTTATTAAGGGAAGAAAGGAAATATTACCCTTCAAATAATTACCCCTTTCTTATGTTTCAGCACAGTCGTTAGTCAGACCTCAAAAAGGGGTGTAATTTTGGCCCGGTCCAGGCCCATCCGGGCTTGGGCCGGGCAGGTCCCATTCGGGCCTTGTGGACTCTTGCCAAAAATCGGGCCGAGCCAGGCCGGCCTACAGGCCAGGAAACTAGGCCCAGGCCCAGGGGTATTCAGGCTTCGGGGCGGGCCAGTGGGGCCCGGCCTAGAGTCGGGCCCATGGGCTCGGTCCTAGGCTTGGGCTTTGGGCGGGCCTAAACATTTTTTTTTTATTTTTTCCATTAAAAATAACACTGGACATAGGGTGGGCCGAGCAGGCCGGGCTTCGGGTCGGGCTTTTGGGCGGGCCAATGGGTGGGCCAAGCGGGTCAGGTCCATGGGCCGGGCCAAGCTTCAAAACGATGGCCCAGGCCCTAGCCTAAGGCCTCGAGCTGGGCTTGGGCTCAGGCCTAAACAGGTCGGGCCCACCTCGGACCGACCGCGAGCCACGGGCCAAAATTTTACCCCTAACCTCAAAGAATTACCTCTTACAAACACGTAATGAATTTACCAGAGAAAAAGTAAAAGTTACTGCCCCTACCTACCACAGAACCCATCACCCTCCCAAATGGCTCGAACAGACCAAAAAAATAAAATCAAATCAATTACTCAATCCAGTCAACTCGTCTTATGGCTGCTCTTAATCCATTTGAGTGTTTAGTCTGTTCTAATTTATAAATAAATAAATAAATAAAAATTAAAGTTTCGGACAAAAGTTTGTAATTCGAGTTTGCCTATAAATCTGACCCGTAAGAGCCTACATGGATAAGTCTGACGTTTAGTTTGATGTTTTTGTTCTCATGTTTAAAGTTTTTATATTTTTTCTTTCCCTTTTTTTTGTCTTCTCCCTCCACTTGTAGGTATCGTATGTTGATTTATTTATTTATTTATTTGGTTATGTGAGAAGTTAAAAGATTTAAAAAAAAGAAAAAAAGAAAAATCAAAATACTTAAACAAGAAAAATAACTAATGAAAATATTTAAAATATGTGAATGAAAAATATGTATAATTTAATAATAGCCTAATTCGATTTGATTTTGACCCCTAAGATTTAAACTTATGAATAGGACGCAATTTTAGATTTCTCAATAGGCATGGCACGTACCAAATCTAAAAAATCTATTAAAATCTAAGATTTAGATACAATAAGTATGAAATAGGTAAGCTCGACCCACCCACCAATGACCCCTAGATGGGGAGAATTCATAGGTCCCTGAATTTCAGTTGGACTTGGGTTTGAGAAGCGACAAAGAGGGGCTTCTTAACTTATATTTATTTCACTTTTTACTTATATTTACATAATAAATGGGCTTGGTAGATTTTGTTAACCTTCTACATATTGTGTACTGATAGTCTGTTTGATCATTGATAGTATAATATTTCTTATGATTATAATTATTCTTTTATTAATTGATCGAAAAAAAAAGAAGAAAAAGAAAAAAGAAGTGATATACACATAAAATCTACTAAATTTAAAGTAATAAAATCGACCACAATAATATATAAGAAATCACATAACAAACATTGAGTTTCAGATAAAATATTCTCATAATATATAATAACTATAGATATGTAAATAATAATTTCATTAATGATCCTCAGCAATAACTCTGTAGTGATGGGTCCTGATCACATCAAGATGCCATGGGCTAACTTGGCCATGCTGAGCATATCTATCACATCACATTTTCAACTCTATCACTAGGCATATAGTTAAAAAATTTATTTCAATCCAAGTTCACTGAATAAAATATAATGTACTGGACTGTTGGGATCATTTCTTTAATCTTTTACTGCAGATGTGGCATTGTAAAAACACCGAACTATTTCAATGAATTGTTAAAATAGATAACGACTTTGAAATAGAAACATCAAAAAATTGATCAACAATAAAATGTATATTTTTATTGTGTACTTTGAATAGGCAAAATGGTTATTAGTATTAGAGATGCTTTAAGATTAAATCTATGAATTGGACAGTGAGGGACCTCTTTGTGAATGGAACATTATAGATGGCAACTTCATCTATCCTTCATTAAACATCAATTAATTCAAAGTTAGTACCAACCTAAAGGACTAATAAAGGCTTAAACTTACACAGTAAAAAGGGAAAAGTGAGGATTAAATGTGTGATTAAATTCGTGACACAGGACCATAGCTAATGTGAGACTTAAACCGTCAAATGTGTTACTGACTCTTTTTAATTCACATTAACAAAATCCTTAATTAAAAACTAACGTGGTACTTTGCTGACACGAGCTATTTTTGAAACAAGACATAATAGCACAGTTGTATCAAGATAATTACATTTAAGCATCAAATTTCAAATATTATATGGTATGTTAATCATGCATTGATTCAGAAGTTCTACCTTTTAAAACCTGTTATTGTCATTAGATGGGGAATTTGTCTCTACACGGGATTAGTTAGATGATGCACCTTGTCCTGCACCTGCAAAAGAAATCAAAATTGGAGATCACCCATGACCTAATTTGGTCGGGAGGACCCTTCAGCAATCAAGTTAACATTTTGGTCGAGCATAATTATAGGAAAAAGTCTTTTCTTAGTTACCTCACCATATCCTTTACCTATTTGCTTGAATCCTTTTTATATAGATAAATTGTCACGACCTAAACCCGCTTCTATAGGTTTAGCATCATAACCGGCCGTAATCCATAGATTACCGAAGGCCTCTTAATCAAAAATCAAATTATTAGAGGCTAGTGGAAGCAAATAATAAATATATAATGTCTATTGAACTGTGCTGACATATATGAGACAGAAAAATTTTAAACTTTACATACATATATATACACACATCATCCTTACGTATATATACAAATTAGACAAAAAGGGACTCAGCCCTAATTACAAAATAAACAAAAACTTAAACTTTAATCACATAGCCTTGACCACTTGACGTATCCGGAACTTCCATGGAAGGTACATAGGTTGGCTGACAGAGAAAGCTTCCAAGCAGAAGCTTTAGGCCTGGTCAAGCGCCTAATCACCTACATACATATATATAAACAATGAGTTAGAGCCCAGTAAATAACAACAAGGTAAAAAGTTTATGAATGATATCCAAACAGTTTCAGAAATCAGAATTCATATCAGAAGCAGATTCAGATTCACATATTTAACCAGAAGTCATAAACAGTTATATGTGATACATCCATTAACTATCATATCATCTTGGTCTTGGGACCCAAATGCATAGTCGGTACCGACAACCCCAAAGATCCATATCTTGTGCACAAGTAGCCATGGTATTGTTTTCTCCAGGCAAGGGCCATGTATAAACCATGGTATTATTTCCTCTGAGTAAGGACCAGATGATCATAAGCCACGGTATTGTTTTTCCTGGGTGAGGGCCATATAAACATATGCCACAGTATTGTTTCTCCTGAGTGAGGGCCATATGAACTAAGGATGTTACAAATACATTTTAGAAAATTGGACACTCATTCACTATTTATAAAATAGCATTTCATAAAATATATCATATCTTAACATTCTAAAAATACTTATAATCGAACATAGCTTTACAGAGTTGTTACTTACAAATAGCTCCAGAAGTAGATCAACAGATTAGATAGATTAGGCAGATGTTAGTGCGTGACCTACACAAACACATAACATATACACATTGAAACACAACATCACTTCCTTAATCAAACTTAACTTTTCTCGTCTTTTTTTGTTTAAGTAATCCGAAGTTCTACCATGCTTATTTAAATTAATTGGGTTCTCATTCACGTATCCTTTCATTACTAAATTCTTCTTTTTCAAGTAGACCAATTTCTTACTTGGCTTCTTAATCAATTACTACTAAATCAATGACTTATTCCTTAACCAACTAATTTATATTGATTGTTAGCTTATTAATCTTCAATGAGCCATAAATCATGTCTAGAATGCTTGGGAAGAGATAAGAATAAAAATATGAATTAAATGTAATTTTTCAAAATATGCTGAAAATAGCTGTTCGCTCAAACGAACCTTTAGTCACTCAAGCGGTCTGTAAAATGCTGCAAAAGTACGGGAAGCCTTCAATGTGCGCTCGAAAGGTAATTAGCCCGCTCGAGTGGTCTGTAAAATTCTAGAATTCTGAATTTCTCAACAATGGTTTCTAAATGCATTTTTCAATCTTTAAACCCACACATCTTGATCAAAACCTTGAAAATACTTCACAAAACATAAACACTTTTTTATTTATAAATCATTTGCTCAAAATCTCATCAAGTTGTCAAGACTTAAATCAAACTCCATGCATTTAAATATTTTCAAACTTCTTTTCCTTTTGAAGAATAATCATGGAATTAAACATGAGACTCATGAATTTCTGAAATAAAATTCAGTACAAAAAGCTCCATAGAATAACTCTTTAAAATCCAAACTCAACATCATGAAACATAAATATTAATTGATTTACTTAAATCAAAATCTTGCTTAATTTCAAAATCAAAACCCATGAACTCATGGTTTCTAAAAAAAAAAATTCAAAATCAAATGTACAATGAAATTGCATGTAATTTATGAAGCTTAATTTAACTATAACTTTCAAAATCAAACTCAAAATAATTAATTTCTAAATGAACTTTCATAAACTTGAAATTAGCTCTAATTCTTCATTTTCTTATCAATTTCTTTTTGTTTACATAAAATTGACTTTAAACTCTTTTCTATCTTCCTTCAAAACATGAAATTAAAATTAGAAGCTTCTTAGAAAATTATTTGCATGTATGAAATTAAGATCAAAACTAACTAATTTTATATTTTCAAATCATAATTTACTTCTTAAATTGCTCTAATTTAGATTTTTATTAATTTTCTTCATATCAAACCTAATTTAAACTCATAAACCTTTAAAACATGAATTAAAGTCTAAAATCTTGAAAATTTACAATGCATGTAAGGTTAGACTTCAAATTATGAAGGATGACAATAAAATCTAACCCAATAACACATTACATTATCAATTTATTAATTATAAATCTTAACCCAATTTTCCTTCATTACTTCTCTAATTTCCCTCTAATTTCATGAAATTAAACCCAATTACTACGTAATTTTAGTTGCTAGATGCTTAATCTACAAGAATTTAAGCTTAAACTTTTTTTTACCAAAAATCCTCAATTTGTTGAGTCTCTTGACAAAGATTTTTTTTTTTTTTTTTAAATGGGAGAAAAATCCATTAATGATAAGCCAAAACGGCACTTACAAGAGAGTCCATGCTTACACAAATAGAGCTTACCCTAGCAAAGGAAAAATGAGCAAAGAGACACATAAGCAAAGTTAAAATAGTATCAAAAATATGATCATACACGATCCTAACCCGTATTGCAAAGCAGAAGTGATCATAAGAGATCAGCACTAGGACTAGTCGGAGATACCACAAAAGCTTCACTCTAGAGAGGGTAAGCTACCAAAATCACACCCATCAAGCCCAAACAAACTGAAACACAGAATAAAAGTTGAAAAAAACTCAAAAAGAAACAAACCAAAAAAAAGATCTGGGGAAGAAATATCAGATCTGGTGGAAGGATGGCCACGACGTCTTGGTGGTTGTGTCGGTAGCGAGAATATAGGCGATGGGCGGTAGATCCGTTGGTGTTGTGGTTGTGGCGGCATGAAACGGTGAAAGGCGGTGGAGAAGTGGCAGATCTAAATCCGGTTGGGAAGTGAAGGGGGAGAAAACGCAAAAACAAATTTCCACCCTAGGGGGATAAGCACCTCACAAGGAGGGAGAGAGTGGGAAGAATAATCTCCCAAGAGTTATTTTGCAAAATGTAAAAGAAAAAAATTGGAAAGAGGAGAGAGGCGACCGGAGAGAGGCCGGAGGCCCCCTCCCAAACAGCAGCACCAAATAGTAGCCCCAAATAACAACCCTAGTAGAGAAAACTAGAGAGAGAAACTAGAACGAGAGGATGCTCCTAGTGCTCTTACGTTTACGTCTCTTGACAAAGATTAAGGTTCGTTCATTGGTTTTCAATTTTTGACCTCCCTCTTTCTAGAGTTAAGCTTCCAACACAACTTCTCTCTCTCTCTCTCTAAAGCTTCTCAACAAAAGTATTCTCTCAAAATTGAGTTCATCTCTCTTCTTTATGAAGTTAGCATAACATACAAACACCCATTTTCAACTCCTTGTACATACACATACACTTGTCAACACACAGAATGCAACCAAATTTCTCAATACACCCACACAAATTTCTCAGCACACCCACACCCATATACACTCTCAATTCTAAATTTTTCCATAATTCATTTTATGTTTAGGATTTATTTAATTAAGTAACACTTAGTCTTAATAAATCTCAATTAGCACATCATTAAATTAATTATAATTAATCATAAATCCCATATAATTTAATCAGTCTAATTTGACTTCCATGAAGGCCCAATTAATTTTATTTAATTTATCATTTTGAATTAGATTTTTAATCAAACTTCTAAAAGGCTCCAAACATCAAATTAAACTTAGGAAAAAGATCCAGACCCCCTTTTCCCCCCACCTCCTTGACCATCTCTTGATCTGATTGTTCAGATTTTTTTTTTCCTTCTCCTCCAATCACCACCCGCCACGTGTGTGTGAGGGGGGGTGGGGGTGGTGATTGGAGGGGATCTCTATCAAAGCCCTTAAACTTATTTCCATCATCAATTTTGGATTCTCACATTATTAAGGCGTTCAATTTTAGATTAACTCAAGATTTTCATCAATAAATTACATACCAAATTCAGACTCAATTAATCAAATCTCAATTTTATAAATCTGAATCGAATATTTAATTAAACTCTCATATGATCCGATACTCGAAATTAAAATAATTTAATTCACCATTTGTACTTTCTCGAGCCATTTAAGTTTTTAATTTTTAATTTCAAAATAAATCCTCAATAAAGTCATATACGAATTAGTCTTCATAATTTTTATAAATTTTAAATTAAATTAGAATAATTGATAATTAAAAATTAAAAATTCTTTAATTAATTAAGTATTAATTATTATACACGGTGGTGGAGTGGTTACATAAGCGGTGCCTTTGTTGACCATCAATCTCCTTTTGATATTTCGGTCGGTCCTGTGCTAGAGGTTATAGCAATAATGGCCAATTTATTGTTGCTAATGATCGTTGGATCTCTATTTATCAAACAATTGTTTTTTTTTTTTAAGTAGTTGCTAACTTGCATTTGAGAATAACCGTTGGATCTTAGGTGATCGGATGGATACTTCCCTTGTCAGTGGTTATTTTTGTAGCGGACAACTTGTCCTCATCTTCGCTGGCCATCTTTATCGCCCTGTTTGGTAGAGCTGTGGGAAAGTGCATAAACAGCTTATAGCTTATAACTATGAACATAAGTTAATTTCTGACTTCTAAAAAGCTATAAGCTATAAGCTATAAGCTATAAGCTAAACCAAACACATCAAAATAGCTTAAATTAAACTGAAAGCTAAAATAAGCTGCTTTTAAGTTCTGTCAAGCCGGCACTATATAGTCACCAGTCTGATTGTAAGTCCGATTTTGTCTATGGATCGGGTCAGCCCTTCACCTATTTTTGGGCTATATCTGGGTTTATCCGGGTTTTTTGGGCCTACATTTTTTTTTTATATTTATAATTATTTTTCTATCGATTGATAAAAACAAAACAAAACAAAATAAAAATAAAAATAAAAATAAAAATATTACAAATTAAGTGTGGCATGCTATTAACAGTAATGCTATAGTGATTAAATTCGGATATATATATATATATATATATTTTGCATCAATTAGATCAAAGACAACACTTTTTTGTCATTCAAATATTTTCAGAAAGTAGTGCTATATATAATGATATAGTGAATGATAAATTCATTTTAAATGAAGACATTTATCACTGTAGTTATCCTTTTCAAAGTATTTCTAGGGAATAATTTCTTCCAGTTTGGAAACAGACTGTCCGGTATTGTTGAGTTGGGCCTGACTTCAAGCGTATCTCGATAATTCAAATCGTTCAATGTGTAGAATTCATTGAGTACATCATCATTGCAAAATATGTTAATCGGATATTGATAGTCACTTGATCATATTGCATTTGTGTTTACAATTTATTTTTAAAATCATAATTGTCGTTGAAACAAATATAATCTGATTAAGTAGCCATTGATATCCGATTAACGTGATATTTTGCAAGAATGATGTACTCGACGAGTTTCATACATTGAACGGTTTGGATCATCAAAATGAACCTGAAATTGGGTCCACAACAGCCTAACAGTACCGTCTAATCTAATTCTGGATTGAAGAGAAGTTGTTCTCTTTCTCTTGTATCATTTTGAATGAGTTTTTAAAAATGTTTTTATTTTCAAATCAATTTTATTTATTGGAATCAACTGACAGTGTCTAACAGCAATTAGTGTTTCTAGAGCAAATCTATGTTAATTTTTTGGTGGTGTTGACCTTAAAATTGTAAATTGATTGGTATGAAACGTTGCTGTTTGAATGGATGACAAAACATTGGAATTAATTTTCTCCACCTGTTTTCATGACTTTGCACTCCAATTAATTTGACGGTTCTGCTTCATACACCCAGTGAGGGTCGCGCCCCCAGTGACGTGGCGCGTCCCCACTGATCGAAAATCAAAAAAAAAAAAATTATTTTTTTCGGACCAACCCCCAGCTGGGGTAAGATGCATTTTCCTTAATTTGACGACTTACAAAAAGGAAACTACTCTTAAATACGGGGCACAGATAGTCAACACTTACAAAAATCGGAAAATTACATAAATTTGACATAATTAAATTGATTTTTCTTAAAGTAATTGAAATTAATGTAAATAGCGTGTAGACACAAAAAAAAGTTATTGTAAAATAGATATTTCAATATAAAAGATATGATAATATCATGTTTTTTAGAATTATTTACTTAAAAGTCCTATTTACAAATGTTAGGGTAGTTTAGTTCATATCTAAAATTTTTTGTACTAAGTCCTATTTAATAAAACTGAGAATATTATCAGTTCTTTCTAATTTTTAAAACTAAAAACATTATCAATTTTGTATAATAATGTTCCAGATAATTATTTCATACAAAACCTAAATCATCAAACCTATCAAACTCAATAAATCAAACCACTTATCAAACGCATTTAACAAATAAACAACAAATCAAACCATGGAAACAAATCATATATATATATATATATATATATATATATATAAGTAACAAAAATGAGAATGAAGATGAAACGGACGAAACGAACCTTGTCGCCGCCACCTTCCCCCGCTTCGCTGCAGAAGTCAAATCAGTCACCTGCGTCGCCCTCTTTGTTCGTGGCCTCTCCCTTCGCCTCACTGTCGCCTCTTCTCGCCTCGCCTCCGTTGCCTTATTGTAGGAGTGACGTTGCCTACCCACGTCACCCTCTCTGTTCGTCTCTCTTAGAGGGGTTAGGGTTCAAACAAGAGACAAATGAAAAAGAGGCTAAAAAGCAAAATAAGAAGAGAAAAAAATAAAAAAAACAAAAGGTTCAAAACAACATCGTTTTGAACCGCTGCAGGAAACCATGGCAGAGAATCCGGACTCGAATTGGGTGGGTAGGGAAATTCATATTTTCAAATTTTGAGATCTGAGGAATTGAATGTTATGTAGGATAAAATTATAACAAAAATAGAAAAGGAAAAATTGCACTTCAGTGCAAGTTTTCAAAAAAAAAAATGTAAATTAATGTAAAAGTTTATCAATCTTAATAATAAAAGTATATGCTTTTTCATAAATTTATAAATATTTTGTAATAATACCATTGATTTGCAATTTTTCCAATAAAAATAATGAGATTAACCAATAAGTCCCATATTATAGACTTGTGATCCATTTAGTCTTTTTGGATATGTAATGGCTCATTTTCCCGCCACATTAGAGTGCTACATTTGGAGAGTTACGTTGGAGTGTTACATTTTGAAAAAGTGCACTATAAGTTTTTTGGTGTGTTACATTTTTTGAGTGTTACATTAGGGTGTTACGTTATTAGAGAAATTTTTTAGTATGATACGTTTGAGAAAACTACACTAAAGAGCTTTTTTTGAAGTTTCACATTTGAGTTTTACATTCAAGGAGGGGTGGAAACGTCCACCAAATTATACTAAAATTTAAAATAGGATCTCACGGTAATATTGTCAAAACAAACAGGACCTATGAATGTATTAGAAAATTCATAAGACTGATTGGAGTAATTGATTCCTATATGGAATTTTCTGATAATTTTTCCTAAAAAATAAGATGTGTAATGAAAAAAAAAATAAAAAATTTGTGACGTAAAGTAAATGGAAACACCCTGCCTAGATATTGCTTTAGTCTGCTTAACTTACCATAATTCCCTTGCATTGTGTTTCAACAATGGGGAAATTACATCAATGGTCCCTATAGTTTACTCGTAGTTTCATTTTGGTTCTTGTACTTCTAATTGCATCAATTTTTCCCTTACAGTTTTGTTTTTGGCTCTATGTGGTCCAATAATTAACAGTCGTTGGCTTTTTGGATGAAAACCCACACGTGCCTTGCATGCGCGAGATGAAACCGGTCAATCCGTAAATGAAACCACCAGGGGAAGGTCTTTTCTCTCTCTCTCTCTCTCTCTCTCTCCCCTCCATTTCTTTGATTTATTTCTTTTTAGTTCTTCCACTCTCTCTATCTGAATCAAACCCTTCTCTCTTACAAATCTCGGTATTGTCGACTACCAATTACCCAACGACACCCACGACGTAACCTTCTTCACCAATCAAATCCACACCCTTGTCACTTGCTTTCCTTTCCTCGTTGACTCTTGGATCTGCGAAATCACAGCCATCTATCGTCCCCTTCTCCATCGCCACATTGTCGGCCTTGACATCGAGTGGCGACCTAACAACCATTTCCACGATAACCCTGCCGCCACTCTCCAACTCTGCGTTGGCCGCCGATGCCTCATCTTCCAACTCATCTACTCCTCCCAAATCCCCCAATCCCTCTTCGACTTCCTCAACAACCCTATCTACACTTTCGTGGGTGTGGGTATTCACACCGATGTTGACAAGTTGACTAAGGATTATGGGTTCTCTGTGGCCACCACTG